AACTCAGCTATTGGGGGTTATTAAAAGGTTATTGAGGCTATTAACCTTTTAATAATAGAGCATTATTTACGTGCGTCATACACACGTAATTCTGCGTGCGTATGACCCTAAATAATATTTTCAATAACTCAATTATCGAGGGTTATTAAGAGGTTATTGAGGGTATTAACCTTAATAATATATCAATAATCTCTCAATAATCTACCAATACATTCTGCGGTTCGGCGCTATCTTTTTTCTTGTGATTCGAGGGTTTCGTGAGGTTATTGAGGGTATTAACTCCAATAACAGTGACATAACCCGCAATACCCTCCAAATAACCTTCATACGCACACAATTCTGTTCGTAAATATTTCTCAAAATTAAAGAAGTAAAGTAGCAACAAAACCAATGGTAAAATCATCATGGACTATCTCGAATATAAAAATGGTAACTTTCAAGCCATTGCCGGAATCAATGTTGCTGTGGTTCTTCCCCCTCTAAATTTGAGAGAATCGCATGCAACAGTGAAAATAAACTAAAGAAAACAAGATAGAAGATCCAAAAAACCTCACCTGAATAATCCCCTTAATCCGCCATACTCCTCTGGTATGAACAACTATATCAGAATCATCCGGGTGCATCTGTTTTAGCTCCTTCCTAATCTCCACATCCGACACATTGTGATCGCATGTCAATCGCTCCGCCACCACATCCTTTCCACTAGGGTTCGCGCAGCGGCCGAGCACCGCTCGGGAATCCCCCAAATTCGCCACATACAGCATATCCTCCGTTACGGCCCCAACCAGGCAACAAGTTCCAACCGAAGCAATCTGCGGCCTGTAAGGAAACGAACGCTCCACCGATCGTAAGAACTCCTCCTCGGTCGCAACAATCGCCTTCCTCATCACGTCAGCCGAAACCCCCTTCTGCTCCATAGCAGATTCTACACAATCGCAATCCAAAATCGAAATCAGAAAAGTAAAGAGGAAAGGGGATAGATAGGAGATTGGACAGTGATACTCACTGCAGAAGTTAGGGAAAAGCTGGTTGTTGACGAATCGAGCAGCTTCGGGTCCGCCATGGCCATCATAGACGCCGATGAAAGTCCCGAATGGGGTCGCGGCCACCTGACCCTGGTCCTCTAATGTTGAATTAGCCTGAACAACGGCAATGGAGAACTCGCCGGAGGTGTGGGGCTTTAGGTCTTGGTGCCAGAAAAGCTCGTCGCCGTAAACGATATCTCCGAAGCAGCGTTCAATGCACGATCGAAGCGTCGTCATACAGTCCGGTCTCCCCCTCCGAGCTCGATCGGCTCTTCTGCTATCTTCTTCTCTGTGCTCTTTGAAAAATAGGGTTTTGAGAAGGGAGGAGGAGGAGGGATTTCTCTTATATAGGGCGCGTCGGCGACACGGAGGTAGCTCCGGTCGTCTCTGCCGTGACCGTGAGTTGAGGTTTTCATGGGTGGATTCCTCTGCACACCACAGACGGCAAGAATTTTCAAAAAGTGGCATTTACATAAATACCATACAGTTCTTATGTATTTACATATAGCATATAAACTTTGTATTATTACATTTAGGGTTTGTTTCAGAGGGCGGGGTGGCTGGCTATTTGGTAAAGTTCGTTGTTTGGTTTGTAGATTCACGGCATAGCTTCAACGAAGCTGAGAGAAAGCGGGCCGCAAGATTAACACTGCGACCCTGCTTTCGCTCCAATACTTTTACCCTTTACCCCACATTTTTTCTCATCTACCTTCGCTGCTTCCCTGCTGCTTCTCTCGCGAATCCCCTGCTCCTTCTTCTTTCCTAACCTCGAATGACAAATCTCAGGTATGTCGAATCATCCTCTTCAATTGTTTTTGTGGATCTGAGGAAGATTATACGTTTTTGCGGCCCTGATGGCTTCTCCTCCTTATTTCTTTCTTGTTTCTATCATTTTCATTCTTTCCTCTTTTTTTTTGGTAGATCTGGAGTTTCACGTAGGGTAGCTAAGTGATCCTTTTGGTTGCTTGTTAATATTGTTCCAGCTCTTGGTTTTTCACCTCTCTGATATTTCCTGTTGAATGCTTTGATCCGACACATTAGTGTTTTATGTTTAATGCTTTGAAGAGTTCTTGGCAAATTGGTATTGCGATGATCTTATAGTATTCATTGGTGTTGGATTGGTATTATGGTATTTGTGATGCCATGATTCTGGCACATTAGTATTGCGGTGACTTTTTAGGCTATAATATGTGGCTGTGGGAAGTGAAATATTCATACATGTATTTCTAGATGGGTGTGCATGCATTTTCTTGAAGGTTTTGGTCAAAGAACAAGTAAAGTGGCAATGCTCCAATTTTATTCATATAAGATCCATATGATTTGGGCCTACTGAAATCCCTCCCAATCTCTGTTTAACTAGATGGAGAGAATCAAGGGACCAAGATCATATGTAACTGAATTCAATTCTCATTTTGGGGCAAGTGGATCCACATTGAAGTCAACAATGGTTATATTTTTTTCTCTTTTTGATGAAAAAGCTGCCATATTGGCGTCTTTGCAATTTGAACTTTCAAAAGCATGATAAGGTTGCATCATTGATTTTCTTTTTCGTTTCATTTTTCTTGCTAACTTTTGGAGTTGTTTTTTGTATAACAAATTTTGGAGTTATTTTTATGATGGACCAACATGCTCAAGGAGTTTGCCTTTAACATAACTATACTTGTAGAATCATTTGAAATTGTTGGGTCAACTACTTGAGCATTGTCAACTTATGCAAGGGTAACATCTCAAAAGTTGTGGTCTGTACCATCGAACTTCTACTTGACGCAACCTTAACTGTAATCACTGAAGTTGAGGCTATCGTCATGACTGAAGTCATCATTTTAACATTTGCCCTCACTATTGTAGCTGAAGTTGAAG